CGCCCCCCCAATCTGCACGAGCGAAATCTCGCTCGTGCAGATTGTGGGGGCGTCCGGGAGGCTCGAAGGCGAGCCCGCCGGCGGGCCTGGCTCCGAAGAGGTCGGTGCGCTTCTTCGCCCTCGGGCCACGCACGTCCCAGCCGTGTTGGGGCCGTCTTGGCCTGTGTTGGGGCCGGCTTCGAGTGAGGTTTGGGGCCACCTGGGACTCGGAGCGCAGGAAGCCGAAATGGGCGGCGGGGGCACACGTGGGCACCGCCACTGGGGCCTGCGCCCGAGCTTCCTATTAGGCCACGAAGCGTGTGCAGGGTGTGCCGACATGGTGGCAGGGGCGCATGTGGGCACGGCCACTGGGGCCGTCGATGGAGGTCACTGTGGGGCCACGAAACGCGTGAGGGGTTTGCCGACATGGGCCACGGGGGCGCATGTGGGCACCACCATTGGGGCCATTGGTGGGGCTCATTCTATGGGGCAACGAAATGTGTGCGAAGTGCGTGTGAGGGGTCTGCGGACATGGGTAGCGGGGTCGCATATGGGCACCGCCACTGGGGCCCTCAGTGGAGCCCCATATGGGGCACGAACCGTGCGAGGGGTGTGTCACAATGGGTGGCGGGGACGGATGTGGGCACCGCCATTGGGGCCTTCGGTGGAGCTCACGATGGGGCCACGAAGCGTGCGGTGTGTGTGTGTGTGTGTGTGTGTGTGTGTGTGTGTGTGTGCGTGCGTGCGTGCGTGCGTGCGTGCGTGCGTGCGTGCGTGCGTGCGTGCGTGCGTGTGTGTGTGTGTGTGTGTGTGTGTGTGTGTGTTTGTGTGTGTGCTGACATGGGTGGCGGGGTCGGCCACGAAACGTGCGGGGTGTGTGCCGACATGTGTGGCGGGGACCCACGTGGGCACCGCAACCGGGGCCGTCGGTGGAGCTCCCTGTGGGGCCACGAACCGCGTGAGGGGACGCATGTTATCACCGCCGCACGAACCTTCGGTGGAGCTCCGATGGGAGCACGAAGCGTGTGAAGGTTGTGCCGAAATGAGTGGCTGGGACGCGTGCGGGCACCGCAACCGGGGCCGTCGGTTGAGCTCCCTGTGGGGCCACGAAGCGCGTGAGGGGACGCATGTTGGCACCACCACACGGGCTTTTGGAGTCCCCCATGGCGCTACGAGACGTGCGAGGAGTGCGCCAAAGTGAGAACGGTGACGGGGGAGGGAAGGGGAAGAAGAGGAGGTGGAGGAGAAGAAGGAAGGAAGGAACGCGGGGCGCTGTCTCTTCAAAACGAAAGCCCACACCACCGGATGGCTTGGAAAACGCATGGGTTTGCAACATAACAGTAGTTTGCCAAAGTACCTGCGCTCGCGCTCTTGCGAACTTCTGGGGGAACCAAATGTTTTCAACATGTTCATCACATTCTCCCAAGCGGGCCCCACGCGCCGCATGTCGGACTCATTCGAACGCCCTTGCGCGCGTGCCCGGGGGGCACGACCCGTGACAAGTAATGCCACGCGGGCCACTCGCGCGCGTCGGCCGCGCGCGCATATCGAACTCGTTCGAATACCTTCATCGCCGACGCGAAGACATCGTCATCGTCACAGGCGGGCGTGATCAACATCGGCGCCGTCCTTACCCTTGCCGTCGTTACCGCCACCATCATCGCTACTTTCATAATCGTGTATATCGTTTTCGGCGTCGCCATGATACCGCGCCCGCCCAAGTCACCGACTCGCACTGAACTGCCCGCTGGGAAATGCCTGGAGGTAAGCGCCGCCGCGGCCGCGTCTGTCGCGCCTAACCGGCCGCTGCGCGCGCGAGAGCGCGCGGGCTAGCGCGGCCGCAGAAATGCACCAACCAACGCCAAACTCTCATCGCAATCGCCGCCGCGTGGGTTTTGCAAACGAAGTTGCGGGTGGGTGGGCGGGATCTTTGCAAGAGCGTGGAATTGGCCAACTGTAAAAATTGCATTACGTAAGTTCCTACATAGATACTCCGGTATTCTCGTTTCTCGAAGATATCCCCCCCACCCTTCGAATAAAACGGCGCCCCGCTCGTATTGCATATTGCAGACGATTCTGCCCCATCGCCCACACTAAATATGAACTCGTATCACCCCAAACAGGCCGGCATCCCCCCCCATCCTCTGCCAAAAAAATGTGCGCGCACTCGTTTATCAAAAAACAACACTTTTCCAAACTCCTGTACGTACACAAAAAGCGACACGATGTGCACGCGCGAGCGTCGTCGCGCGCGCAGCCGACCTCACTCAAAAACCATTGGTTTCGCGAGGATGTCAAAAACGAACATCCCGAACACATGTAAAAACATGTGGTTTCGAAACATGAACGGTCCAATCTATTTTTCATTTACATATACATGCGTATATATATATATATATATACACATTTATATGTCTGTATACATGTGTATGTATATATATATATATATACATACATATATCCGGCATCGTCGCTGGCGTCATCAGCATTGGCGCCGTCACTGGCCATGCCGTCGTCGTTGCCACTATCGTCATGAGCATCGATACTATCATCCTCGTGTCTGCAATCGTCGACGTTGCCATGATACCGCGCCCGCCCAAGTCGCCGACTCAAATTGAATTGCCCTCTGGGAGGTGCCCGGCGTTCAGCGCCACCGCTGCCGCGTCGGTCGCGCCAAACTTGCCGCTGCGCGCGCGAGCGTGCGCGGGCTAGAGCGGGCTAGCGCGGCCGCAGAGATGCACCAGCCAACGCCAATCACCCGCCGCCATCGCCGCCGCAGGGGTTTATGCAAACACAGTTGCGAATGGTTGGGCGGGGTGTTTGCGCGGGCACTGGATTTGACAACTCACTAAAACACTTGTTGTTATCATCTTTTCGAATCTCCTTTGCAAGCAAAAAAACGAAGTGCACAAGCGCGCGTCGCCGCGCGCGTATGCCAAAACCATCGGTGTCGCAAGGGTTTCAAAATCGAGTGTCCCGAAAACACATAAAACACCTGGTCTCGCAACACGAGTTGTCAACAACAGTTTGCGCCCGCACTCTTGCAAATTCTCAAGGGGAACCATCGGTTTGTCAAAATTCCATAACATGTTACCAAGCTGGTTTCTCGCGCGCGCATGTCGAAATCGTTCGAACGCCACCGCGCGCCTGCTGGGACAAGAACACTTGACAGAAAACGCGACCAAGTGCATGCGCGCGCGTCGTCGCGCGCGCGCGCCGAAATCTAAAAACAAACTGAGGTTCGGCGGGGATTTCAACATCGAGTGTCCAGAAAACATATGCAAACGTGTGTCTTTGCAGCGCCAGTTTTCACGTACCCCAAAAACCTGCATGCGCGTGTTTGTGAACGCCCACGAAAACCATAAGTTGTTCAACCGTGTCACTACATTCTGCCAAAAAGGCGTCTCGCGCCGCATGTCGAAAACATTCGAATGCCCTTGCGCGCGCTGGGGGGGCAGGATCCGTGTCAATTAACACCATGCGGGACACTCTCGCGCGTCGGCGGCGCGCGCATGTCGAAATTCTCCCAAAACCTTCATCACATACGAGCTCATACCATCCCAGGCAGGCCAGAATCCGCCCGCCCCCCCCCTCATCGTCGTCGCAGTGGTGATCGTAGCCGTGGTCGTAGTAGCGGCGCTGGTCGTAGTGGGTATCCTCCACGACGTGGGGGGGCGGCCCAAGTCGGCAGCGCTGGCGCCACCCCGTAGACTGCGACGCCCCCACTGCTGGGAGGTCGGTGAGGATTAGAGCGCGATGCCACCAAGCAGGGCCGCAGCGCCAGTTGACCGCCTGGGCATGCCTGGCGCGCGGCTGCAGTTCTCGCGGCCTTCGCGGCTGCATCGACAAGGCGGGCCGCCGTCGGGCAGGCGACGCCAAGCGCAGGCGGGCGGGGCGTCGGGTGGGGCGTCGGGCGAAGCCTCAGGGGGGGCGTCAGGTGGGGCGCGGGGCGGGGCGTCGGGTGGGGCCAGGCTGATATGTATCACGTATCACGATGTACTGGATGTTGCTGATGGTGCCAATGTCAGTGCCGGTGGTGGCGTCGGCGCGGGTGTTGGAGTTGGTGCTGCGGTGCTCCTGGTCCTGAACGCTTGTGAGGTCGCGGGCCCTGGCGTGATCTGCTCCTCGCTGCGTGAGCCAGGCGCCGCCAGGAGGTGCGATCTGGTCTCGGCATGGTGCCTGCATGGGGTCTCCGTGGCCATGAGCTTGGCGGCTGCCGCGGGCTTGGGCGGGGCGCCCGCGCGGACGCCGGCGCGGCGGGGGGCGGCGGCGGCCTGCGGCGGCTGGCGGCGGCGGGCCGGCGGCAGCGGCTGAGCCCGCGACGGCAGGGGCGGCCCGCGGCGGCGGGGACCAGCTGGCGGTAGGTTCGGGGTTTGCATGGCTGGGGGCGCGGAAGGCCAACCGCCGCCTGCAGGTGCCTCGCGGGCGCTGCGGCCGCCATCGCGCGGCGCCCCCGCCGACGCTGCGCTCGTCGCCGCCCGGCGCGGGGCTGGCCGGCACGCTCCACGTCGCGGGGGGGTGTCCCCGCATGTGACGAAGTCTTCCTCCTC